TGCGAATGGACAGTTAACTGACGAGTATAAGATCTGTATTCATAAATTCAAGAGCTGTGTGTGGAACCGAACAGCAAATTCCTGCCTCAGGGAACTTACAGTCTCCTGGGAAGGATGACAGTAAGGCAGTCTGAGTCTGCTGCATGAGGAGGGAGCAACAAGTTCTGTCAAAGCTGAGGTATAGGCTGAAATGATCAGAGAAGAAATTCTAAGTGATGGTGAGCACTTACAGAATACAGTGGGGGAAGTATGGAGAAAGAGAAGGAGGTGCAGTGTGTTCAAAGATGTGTCATTAGGAATGGGCAAGGTTTTGTGGGCAACCACCAGACATACCATGTTCGTTTGGATGGAAACATTTGCATAGGGCGAGGGCGAAAAGTGGATGAGAAAAGATGGTAAGTTTTTATGGTTAGATTGAGGTTCTGACCTACTGACAAAGGAGTCTCAGCTAATGTTTGAAGAGGGAAATGATGTGGTATGTAGAGTACCGTGGATAGGGGCAGCAGTTAGAGGGTGGAATACTACGACAGGAAGGGATGGAGTCCATGCTGGAAGGCCTGGAGATGGAAAGGTGTGGACAGCGACCTAAGATACTGAAGAAGAATCCATAATGACTTGTATATTCTGAATGATTTAAAAGATGTTCACTGGAATGCCATACATTTCATAAACAGAATGATATCAAGAAGGTATCTGGTTTGCATGTTTTAATTTTGAGCGATGATGGATCCAACATTTGGAAATGTTGCAGATAAGAGAAGTTTCAGACAACACTAAAAATACAGATTAGTTAGCAGTCAATTGGCAGGTGACCTTGGTATTCTTTCTTCTTTTTGTTTTATTGAGCCAACACAATTTCTCAGTGGGTTATAAATAGAATGCCATTTTATCATTTAAAGTGGGACTTTGGGGGGAGTAAATAGGGAGATATGACTAATTACACTGGGCCCCAGGGCATAAAACTGAGGCTGTCCAGAGCAGAGCAGGATGCACAAACTCTAGTTTATAAACTCTACCTTAATTCTAGAGGACGGGGAAATTGCCATTTCTTATTATTAGTCTTAAGTTTTCAAAAAGAGCCAAGTGATTCAATCAGTGTCACTTTATTGTGATTTGGATCCAGTCTGGGCCAAGGAACAAGTTGTAACATCTGAGGGGGAAAAAAAAGAGAGAGAGGACAAAGCAGCCCATGTCATGCAACATGTCCCCACTGCCTGGGTGGATGCCCTAATGCTAGGGAAGTGTGGCAGTTTTATGTTGAGGGAAGACGAGAGTTATTCTGGCTTGGCACTGAAAATTATGATGCAAGGTCCCAGATAAAGTATCATTTTACCAGAGCTGCCTCTGAAGATAGGGAATAGCATACATGTGTGGGGAGTGGAAAAAAATGCATTGTGTGTATGTATACATATGCTAAGTAGGGAAAGAGTTTTCTTTATCCTGTAGCTGCAATTTGTTTTGAAGTTGTTACTGCATATACAGGGTAACAGAAAGGAAATGAGACCTTGTCAGACTTTAAAAGATGATATATTGTTAGTGGCTATTGCATATGCCTTATAGGATAAAGGAAATGAGTAATTACTTGCCATCACTGGGAACTTGGGTTTGGAGCATGAAAGAAAGAAAAAGTTACTCAAGGAAAAATCTCTCTCGTTCTAAATTTGAATTAGAAGTATCAGTACCAATGCTGAATGTATTTCTTTAAAAAAAAATACATAAATTTCCATTTCTGGCTTCTGAAAAGGCCTGGCAACAACCACCTCTAGTACTCAGAAAATGGCTTTTAAATATCTCTCTACTCCAAGGAGTTAGGGCTGTCTGGAAGTGTGGCAGTTCCATATCTGGAGAAATGGCTGATCCATATCTAAACAGGGACTATACAGCAGGGCTGGCTTGCAACATGTCTATGGAAAAACAAGCAAGGCATCCACATCAAAGCGAACAGCAAAGAGCTAGGTGTGGTGGCACATGCCTGCAATTCCAGTGACTCAGGAGGCTGAGCCAGGAGTATCACAAGTTCAAGACCAGCCTCAGCAACTGAGAGACTCTGTCTAAAAATAAAAAATTAAAGGGGCTGGGAATGTGGCTCAGCAGTTAAGCACCCCTGGATTCAATTTCAGGTACTTCCCCAACACCCCCCCAAAAAAAAAAAAAGAAAGAAAGAAAGAAAGAAAGAAAGAAATAGCAATGGATCCACACACCAAAATGTCTCAAAACTACTAACACACCAGAAACATATAAATTTAGTAGTTCATAATATTTAAGAACCCTTATCAATCACATGCAGGTAATCAATCTTTAAAAAACTGATATACAGGCAAAGAAGCATTTACCTTGCCTTTGCTATAATAACTATTTGTACTTCAAGATAATTAAAAATATATACCTCAGATAATGAAATTTCTTCTTAGAAAAAGTCTTGTCAAATATTAAACCAGAGTAAAATTAAACTTCTAGATCTAACTACCAACTTGTAGAAAACACAGAGAACAGGAGAATACAATCAAGCAAAACATCTAGTCCAGGGAGGAACTCTATGGGGTAAATGATCTGGTTGTCAAGGAGGAATTATAAGAAGGAAAAGAGGGTGGGAAGAGGGGGTGGAAGGGTAAGAGATGGGTGGGGACATGCAAGGGGAAGAAATCTCTACTTTGAACCAATGAATGAAAGGAAAGGCACAGATGTTATTTGATCCAGGTTTTCAAAAATAAACTGTAAAAATGAAACCATTTATGAGATAAAGGAAAACATTTGGACATTTAAAAAAAAACAGAATTATTATCAATTTAACTGAGTTAATGATATCCTTTTTTAAAAATAGTTATCTTTTAGCCCTGGTATCATTTCAGTCAGAATTACTACAGTCTACATTATTTCCAAATTATTTAGGGATAAGGAGGAAGTTAGGTATGTGGATAAAACAAGATTAGCCAAGCACCAATAATCCTTCAAACTGGGTCACAGTGCCTGGGAGCCACTATATTATTTTCTCTGTTTACATGTTAACGTTTAAAATAACAAATGATAAAGGCTCAGGGAATATTGAAAAACTAGTGAAGGGCTGAAAAGCTTCATTGGAATAGAAATAATTTTTCCTTCAAATATCAAAATACTTTGGCATACATGGTCAACTCTGAATGTCAATAAAAAGGAAGTGGGCTGGGGTTGTGGCTCAATGGTGGAGCACTCGCCTAACATGCGTGAGGCACTGGGTTCGATCCCCAGCACCACATTAATGTAAAATATAAAGATATTGTGTCCACCTAAAAGAAGCTGAGATGGTGGTGCATGCCTGTTATCCCAACAGCTTGATGCAAGAAGACCACAAGTTCAAAGCCAGTCTCAGCAACTTATCGAGGCCCTGAGTAACTTATCAAGACCCTGTCTCAAAATAAAAAAAACAGAAAGAGAAAGAGAGAGAGAGAGAGAGAGAGAGAGAGAGAGAGAGAGAGAGAGAGAGAGAGAGTGTGTTGGGGGTCTGGGAATATGGCTCAGCGGTTAAGCAACCCTGGGTTCAATCCCTGGTACACCCCTCCAAAAAAAAGTAAGTAAGAAAGAAAATGCTACTTTATATTATAGAGAATACTGACACAGATTGAAATGGAAGTAGTCTTTACTGACAGATCCAAGTCCATCAAACCTCATGCCTTATGAAATAAAAAATAAGCTTGGTAGCAGTGAGCAAATGAGTGTTTTAGATGCAGGGATCCAACCTAACAGAAATGTATAGACCCTACAAGTTTCATGGAAAAACACTCTTCCTGCTTGATCATATTTAATAAGCTTTGAGAGAATAATGAGGCTTTTAATGACACCATCCATTTTTGCTTATGATAGAACAGTCAATATACAATATAAAAAATACAAATGAATACTCATAAATACTAAAATGGATAGTTTTGTATTTTGTAGTAAACCTACATCTGCTCAGTCCCTCACCCACCCCCTCCCAAGCCTAGTCATAAACTTGCTGGTTTTGACAAGCAGATCACAAATAGAACAGGTGCCTTTGTTAGTGCTGTAGGTAAATTCTGGCACCTGCTTGGACACCAGCTGTGTGTTAATTAGTCTTATGATGGCCTACATCACCAAATATTTCAAGATTGGAAATGCTTCCTCAAGCTTCCAGAGGAATGTGTCTGCATGTTGGCTGACAGATGCCCCTGGAGAGAGAACAGCCCTTTTCCTAAAAGTCTCTTATGGTGAGCTCTGCCAGATGCAAAATAAGAACTGGCTACACAAAACATTCTCAGTGAGTCAGTTCAGGGAATGAGGGTGGAGGGTGCTTTTGGGGATAAAGAGCAAGAAACTCACCAGTGTAATGATGCTGACCCAGACACATTGAGTGTCTGGTCATATGTCTGAGTTCCATTCCCCCTCCTTTTTTTTCCAGTACCAGGGATTGAACCCAGGAGCGATTAACCACTGAACCCACATCCTGAGCCCTTTTTATACTTTATTTAGAGACAGAGTCTTGCTGAGTTGCTTAGGGCCTCACTAAGTTACTAAGGTTAGATTTGAACTCACAATCCTCCTGCCCCAGACTCACCAGCCACTGGGATAACAGGCTTGGCCACCACACCCACCTGCGTGTCATCAAGTCCTAGTAACAGTCCAGCCATGACATCTGAAACCTGCTTTCCAACGGACTTCCACAATTTACTTGTGTGGCTTTCCATTTGGTCCTTCACTTATATTTAAGCAAACAAAAGTAATGGAATTGATTCACTGCTTCTAGTCATAACAGATGAACTGGGCTATACCACATGAACCATTTGGACAGGGAAGGAGATGGCCTGAGAACTCTCAAAATTAGAGATGGAGTATATCATGGCAAATATGGTTGCAATGAAAGCTTTTTCTCTGAACAAGGCTTAGTGTCCACAGTGTATTCAATACTCAAAAATATCAAATATGAAATAAGATGCTCAATTATTGCTTTCCTTTCAGCCAGTCTGATGACATGGGTGGATGTTATTAGATGATAAAAAAAATCCTACCTGAAGACTGCAAGAGTCAGAGACCAGAGGACTAATGGCTTCCTCAGTTCAAACTTCGCCCGTTTGTTCATTAGGTGCCGACCACCAAAGATAAAGGCAGCATACAGAGCAGAAAACAGGAAAGATTTCTTCCTATAAACAAATAAATAAGTTAAGACTCATGAACAAAATTCCTCAAACAATTTATTTTTATCCCTTAGGAAACAGTTTCCTTCCTTTGTAAGTTCGAAGAACATATTCTTAGGGAATTTTTCTTCCCTGAAAAGGGACCTCAGTCTACTTGGACACTTGGTGTTCTGTTGGACTTCCCTAGACCAACTATCATCCAACAGATTGACCAATGTAGTAAGTACCATGTCAACGTGGTGGTATTCTCTTTTCCGACTCTGTGATGAAAAGTTTCAACAATATAGTGTTGAGGAATAAAAAACAATCTTTTCCAGGGCTGGGGTTGTGGCTGAGCGGTGGAGTGCTTGCCTAGTATGGGTAGCGAGCCTCAGCATCACATAAAAATAAATAAGTTTTTTTAAAAAAGCAAAATTTTCAATGAAAAATTAATTTTATGCTTTAAAGTTTGTTGAGCTAGTTTAGATGGATTTTTACAAGAATTGTTTTTATTGAAAATATTTGATAACCAGGGTTGTAAGGGACAAGAAAATCATTTGAAACTGCTTTTTTCCTAGTAGAATATAGTATTAAAAATAATCTTGGAGTAATCATTGATGATTTAAAAGTCATTAATGATTTGAAACACTAAAATGCAAGTTACATGACGTATGGCTACCCCAATATGGATTCCTGAAAACCCTCTGCATTAAAAAAGATATGTATTAAATTCTAATATATCATTAATAAATGCATAATGGTCAGATATACAACACAACTGGAAGAACATAGAACCATCTATAATACATCTTGCTTCAAAATTTGAACTTGAGGGGCTGAGGATGTGGCTCAAGTGGTAGCGTGCTCGCCTGGCATGCGTGCGGCCCGGGTTCGATCCTCAGCACCACATACAAAGATGTTGTGTCCGCTGATAACTAAAAAATAAATATTAAAAAAATTCTCTCTCTAAAAAAAAAAAATTTGAACTTGAATTTAACCAAATCTCTTATCTGATTACCTGTTAATAAAATAAAAGGGGTAAATTTAAACTGTGTGACATTCTACAAGACAAATGAACACATTTTTGTAAAGTTGTAGTATGGAATAAAAATTTAAGGCTCTTCTAGATTATAATAATCAAATACAATATGTACAACTTTTTGGACCATGGTTTGCAATAAAATCAAATGTTAGCCATAATTTTTAAAGTACTTATCAGCTATTGGTTAACACTGAAACATTTGTGAATATAATTCCATGTTTTATATTTGGTTTGAATATAACCAACAGAACCAAAAATATAGGAAGATTGAGGAAAGGGGATGAAGCATGGGGGCTCATTATTCTTTCTCTTCTCTCTCAAGTGTATGTGTATACATACACACATAAACAGTTAAAAACATTCCATAATTTTTTTTAAAGGATGATTTATTGTGGAAGAAAATATCTGCATGAATATTTAAAGCATCTAACAGGGCAACATCTCAACATGTTTGTTCACTGTTGGAATTGCTGTTTTGACCCACAGACTTTTTATGAGACTGTTAGTTGGAAATATATAAGCAAGACAAAGTAGAATTTTCCAGGTCCCTATGAGCCTGCTGATTTATTTCTGTATAAAGTAAAAGTGAACAGCAATACTAATAATGCCAAAAAAAAAAAAAAATCAACGATCTTCTGTAGAACTATGATTCAACAGAAAGCAATAGAGGGCTTGTAAATAATTAAACATCTGAACACATTTCCTGAGGCAGCAGTGTTTCTCTTAAAAATGGGTATTCCCTACTCAATTAGATCAACAGGAAAAGCACTGAAAAATAAGACACGAGACTCAATACCAAAAGCAAAATGTGTTAACCTAAAGAGTATTATTTGTAAAATGCTTCATATGCTATTTCCCTAATTGCTGGCATGCATTGTTGACTCACAAGACATCTTATTATTAAACAAGCAGCATTTCTACTTAAATGCAATTGACCTGCTTGGTGAACACCATAAAATAAAGCAATGATTCCAGGAATCAATCCATAAATAAATATTGAATAAATCACTTCCGCTGAGGTGGGCATACTCTTGGACACACAAGATGTGGCACACAGTAGATGCTTAATAAATACTTGTTGAATGGGGAGGATAATTTTGAATCTGTGACAATAGAAGCTCAGCAAACACCAAGTGAATAAACAGTTAGTGGACATTAAAAGTTGTAGTTCCCCAGTATATATTGATAACAACTGAATAATAAAATATCCAAAAAAAAAATCATGATACATTTTCTTGCTCTAGAAAGAAAGAGACTATTTCTATGCTTCAATAAGAGATAGAAAGGTGATATGATTTTAAGGAAACTTTAACAATTGAACATTTCAAGTAGAAAATAATTTTGGATATATATATATAGTGATACTATATCACTCTATTTCTCTTCTGAAATTTGCAAGAAGGGGATTAAATTACTTAAAGAGTTAGAACCATTGTTTCTATTACACTCATATAAAGTGCAATATATATGTAAAAAACAATACACACATTTAAAGCTCACACATAAGCAAAGACTCGATAAAAAAATAAAAAACCTATTATATTAATGTAGGCAATAGTAGCAAGAAATAGTATAATTCATTTTTCTAAGTCAAAAAGGTAACAAATAACTATAATCACAGTGTTCTAACTTATTAATTCAAACAGGTAGATATGCTAAAGGGCTTTGTATTATCTTCATTTTCATAAAGAAATAGGCTTAGAGGGCAAGTAACCCCAGATTTTCCTGTTCTCCTGTGGTAAACTTTCAGGAGAAAACAGGGCACACTTGGTGTGTTATCTTCTAAGTATATAAGTATCCTTTCAGCCCTTCTGCTGAACTTACACCCTCTCTGTGCTATTGAGGAAAAAAATTGTTCAGCAGTGAAAAGATGAAGAATCCCCAATCCTAATGTTCCAGCGCTCATATTTTCTAGGCTTGGAACACTTTTATCCAAACCCTTTTTACCTCCTGGAGAACACTGAAAACATTTCCTTATAATTACTTTATCATCATTTTCCTGACTCACTCAATATAATTCAGATTTGGGTCATGGTTGTACATATTCATTGTAATACTTGCAATTATGCACCAATAAAGTTAAATGAATGACACTCCTATCATCGAGCTGGTAAGGGGAAAATGTGCCTCAAGAATCAAGACAAGAATAAAAATCTTCACTCTAATGTTTCTCTGATTTCCTTACTTCTAGAAGGAGAATCAGTCCTAAAGCACAGCTAAATTCTCCACAAGTCCCATTCTCTTTTGTACAGGTTTTTAAAGACTCTCTTTAAAAACCATCAACTCAACATCTAGGACGGCCAAAACAGCAACACAGAATTTAAAAATAAAAGAGATTTTTAGGAGCAAAGCCCAAGAGCTTTATTCTACAAAAGAATACATCTGATATTCATTGTCACATAGGTGCATACTGTACAAAGATAAAAAGTGCCCCTAATTTTCATGATTCTGATTAAGCAAGTGGGCAAACAGAAATTAACTATATAGGCTATATCTGAGTCCCAGGCAGTCAATAATGGAAAACATGTTTGTTTAAGAGCTATTATTAAAATAAGTTGCTATCGTAGCTAAAATATGGAAGCAACCTAGATGCCCTTCAATAGATGAATGGATAAAGAAACTGTGGTACATATACACATATATACATTACTCAGCATTAAAAGAGAATAAAATTATGGCACTTTCAGTAAATGGATGGAGTTGGAGAATATCATGCTAAGCAAAGTAAGCCAATCCCCCCAAAACCAAAGGCCGAATGTCCTCTCTGACAAGTGGCTGCTGATCCATATGGGGGGAGGGCATGGGAAAAATGGAGGGGCTTTGGGCAAAGGGGAGGGAGAGAAAAGGAGGGGGTATGGAAGCAGGAAAGATGGTGAAATGAAATGGACATTATTACCCTAGGTATTGGTATGACTGCACATATGGTGTGACGCTACAGCTACATTGTGTACAACCAGAGAAATTAAAAGTTGTACAACCAGAGAAATGAAAAGTTATGCTGCAATTGTGTACAATGAATCAAAATGCATTCTACTGTCATATATACCTAATTAAAATAAATAAAAACTTACTAAAAAATAAGTTGCTATTGTATAATATGTAACTTCTTCTACAGGGGCAAAATCCAAGCAATGCTGAGTTTAGAATTAAGCTTTCTCAGTAAGAGCAAATTACCTAAGGAAGTATTAGCTCTAAATTCTTCAAGTGAGTAATCAAAATGTATCATTTATGGCAGAATGTATTATTTTTCCATTTTGCTTAGAAGATTTTCTTCAGCAAGCTAGGCAATTTAAGTGAATTAAAATTGCTTTTTCTTTCTGGCATCTCTCTGGTAAAGTTCAATTATAGTCAAGATGAATAATGACTTGCTATTAGCCTACTTAGTGTTTAATGTGGATAGATTATTTCCCTGACACTTCGATGGTAATCCAGTAATACTTGCTATTCTGGCAGGGATACATATCTGGGAACAATAGCGATACTACACTGCTTTATTACCAAATAATGAATAACTTTTAGATGGCATGGATTTGTCTTGCTTAATACATTTTAAATGTATATCATATGGCACAACCTATAACTCTAGGTACTTAATAAGTACTTTTGAGGATGGTGATTCTGAAGTCGGTTACCAGGTAACCAAATAAAGATAACGCAAATGAAATACTAATGTGTTTTGAGATTGTGGCGTTTGCATTGAACTTTCTCCTTCGATTTTTGTCATCAATAATGAAAAACATGAATAATACTAGCTATTAGTCCATGATGACTAAAAACAAATTGTGGCTTTATCCTTAGAGATAAATGTTCCAAAGCATTCCTGGAGGTGCTTTTTGATTCTCAGAGTAACTGCAAAAGTCTGTGTGCATGCTTGTATTTCGTGATCTACCAGGGACACGTCTGAAAGATCAAGTATAAATTAAAAAAAAAAAAAAAATTTTTTTTTCCAACTTGTGCGATTACCCTGAAACTAATACTCAGCTTG